AAGAACCAGGCCTTCTCTAGAGCACCTGTACTGCAGAAGTACTATGACTGTGGGATGGTTCATTCTTTACCACCATTGGCACAGGAGCTGCTGTGACATGACCATTACCATGCCTCTTCCTGTAATATTTGAATGAAGTCAATCCTGTGGACAGGGCCCTCTGTGTGGTTAACTTCCCATGGCAGCAGCAGAGTGATCATCTTCTGTCTGCTAACACATCTGCTACCTGAAGTGGATGGTCCTGTAAGTCCTCGAGCATCAGGATCTGGTGTGCCAGGGCGAGGTCTGGATCGCAGGATGGAAGCGGCAAACGGCTGAGGGCATCTGTGTGGCCCATCACCTTTCCCAGGTGGTAGACAAGCATGTAGGTGTAGCCGGAGAGAAAGATCAACCAGCGCAATACTTGAGGTGACAAAATTTGCAGCGTCTGCCGATGCGGGGCTAGTAGGCCCAGCAGTGGCTTCTGGTCAGTCGCTATGGTGAAAGCCCACCCATAGAGATAATTGTGAAACTTTTAAATGCCTGCCACGATTGCCAAGGCCTCTTTGTCTATCTGGGCGTAATCCACTTGGCCGGGGAGAAGGTGCAGGAGTAGTAGGCCACTGGAACCTCTCTGCCGTTGGAGAGCTGATGGCTGAGGACCACTCCAAACCCATAGGGGGAAGCATCGCAAGCAAGGATGACCAGAAACAATTCATTGAAGTGGGCCAGGACTGAATTCGAAGTGAGAAGCTCTTCCACAGCCTGGAACACGGTGGCTTGCTTTTGACCCCAGACCCAGGGAGCCCATTTGTCGAAGAGCCGGTGCAGGGGCTCTGCGACTGCTGTTTTGTGTGGCAGGAAGGAGTGATAAAAGTTCAATAAGCCCAAGAAGGCACGGAGCTCCGGCTTGGACATGGGGGTGGGGGCGTTAACGATGGCTTGGACCTTGTCAGGGGCAGGATGCATTCCCTGCACGTTGATGGAGAAGCCCAGGAACTCCACGCACGGAACCCCTAGGAGGCATTTCTCCCTCTTTACCTTCAGGCCGGCAGCTTGGAACCTCTGCAAGACGGTGCGCAGACAGATGGTGGAGTCCTCTTCCGCGGGTGCTGCAATCAGAACGTCATCGAAGAAGGGCTGGATGCCGAGAATTCCTTTGAGGAGAGAGTCCATTAGGTTTTGGAAAATTCCTGGGGCCACGCTGACCCCGAACTGTAGCTGCCGCACCCGAAACACACCTCTGTGCATCACAATCATTTGCGCCTCTGCTGTCACATCATCCACGGGGAGCTCTTGGTATGCTTGGGCCAAATCCAGCTTCCCAAAAACTTTGGCGCCCGCCAAGGAAGCCAGGACGTGGCTAACCACCGGAACCGGGTATGCATGGTCCTGCAGAGCCTTGTTAATTGTGTAGTTATAATCTGCACAGACGCGGATGTCCCCATTGGGCTTCACTGGGGTTATGATGGGGGTCTCCCATAATGCATGGGGCATGGGCTCTAGGACTCTTTGGGACACCAGCTTCTCCAACTCTGCATCTATTTTTGGCCTGAAGGCGAAGGGGACCCGCCTGGCCTTCAGCCGTATGGGCCGTATGCCAGGGTTGAGCTGTAGGATAACTGGTGGCCCAGTGTAACGCCCAAGCATCCTGTCGAAAACTGCAGGGAACTCATCACACACACCCTAAAAGTCTTTTTGCTTCACGTGATTCACCCCGGTCACCCCGATTCCCAGTGGCTCGAACCATGCCAGTCCAATGAGGCTCATGCGCGTCCCTTTAACCACAAGCAAATCCAGCAGACCCTCAAAGTTGCAGTACTGCACCCTGAACTTTCCCTCCCCCAATATGGGCACTTCGTTCTTTGAAAAGTCCCATAGACTAAACCCTACTGGCTGCAGGGGGGGGACCCCCGCTTGGGCATAGTCTTTTGAATGTGTCCTCCAAAATGATTGAAAGGGAAGACCCGTTGTCTAACTTCATTGAGCAGGGGCGTCCCTCGATTAAGACAGTCAAGTCAATTTTGTTGGGGGAACCCTGGGGTAAGTGCAGTACCTTGTGCTGCTAAATGGACATGGTGTTGAGTTCAGTGGAGTTCGTAGGGTTGGTGGTTACCGTTGGATGCCTTCGGTTTCCCTTGGCCCAACATGCTCGGGTGATGTTGCTGACCTTTCCGCAGCTTTGGCATGTGGCGTCTCAGAACCAGCAGGATTTCTGCTCATGTAGATGCCCTCAGCTGGTGCACGTGGGAGAGGTGGTTGGGTCGCCGGCGTGGTATGATGTTGGCGGTCGTTGTGGTGCTGTCGGCATGCATGGCGAGGGATTTGTAGGACTTCTTCTTCCTCGTTCCCGGAGCTGGCCACGTGGTGGTTGGCCTTGGTAGACCCTTGCCAAGATGGTGGCCCGTGAGACAACTGTGGGCCTTTACCACCTCAGACCACTGCAATGAACTGCTCAGCGGCTTCCACGGCTAGGGCCATCTCCAGGAACTCCTTGAAGTTGGGATCCCCCTTTCCAAGTATCTTTTGTTGGATCCTCTTATCCCAGAGACTGCAGACCAGCCGGTCCTGTTGGGAATCTTCGAGGGCAGGGAACTTGCAGTGCCGGGCGATGTGGCGTAGTGCTGTTACGAACTCCGATATGGATTCGGTGGCGGTCTGGTTCCGCGAGTGAAATGCATGGCGGGCTGTGATAACCAATGGCTTCGGGGGGAAATGTTCCTTGAGTCAGTCAATGATCACCTGGTAGTCTGTGTCTTTGAGCTCTACCAGAGCGAGGAGCGAGCGGGCAATCTCGTATGTCAGATGGCCACTTACATGGAAGAATGTGGTGCGCTTCATCTTGGCCGGATGCTGGAGGATTCTAGGAAGAAGTCAAACCGGCCCATGTAGGACTCCCAGTCCTTGGTGGTGGCGTTGAATGCGTCGAAAGATCCAGGAGCGGCAGCCATCGTCTCCGGTGCGATGTGGTGCGCGGGGTCCTGTGACTCGGTGCACAGTGCATTGCTAGTTGGAGCCAGCTCAGTCATCAGGATCCCATCCTGGTTGCCAGTGAAATGTACTCGGTTCAGACGCGTTGAGTGATCAGCTCATAGTTTATTAAGTGATTCAGCAGTGAGAACAAAGACAAAGACCCCTGGCCGAAGCCAGGTTTTATGCCCAAAGAAAATCACACCCAAAACACACCCCACTCCCCGTGATAGGCTATTTACACAAGGTTACCTTTCCAGGTAACCCTATTGGGCTATGTTAGGATCCAAGTGTTCCTACTGGTGCGCTCCTAGGATCCTAGCCTGCTTTTGTTAAAGATCTCAAGCTCAATACATTACACTTGGCTTCGACTCAGGTATTTTGCTACTGAAGTGTGAATTCAGAACATTTAGAAATAATTGAAAACTAGGCTGTAAAGAAAACTGGCTCCCTAAAATTTCTTGTCTGTTTCAAAGTTTGGTTCAGGCTTCAAATGCAGCCTGCTTGTGGGTTAATACAGTTCAGAAAAACAGCCTTGCTAAAGCTAGTGCACACTGACCTTGTGAAACTGCAGGTAACACCCAGCTGCAGATGGAGTCAAAGAGACCAATACCACCTTCCAGTTAGCCACATCCCATTCAATTAAGCACCTGTGGGAAACGGGATGAGCCTAGCTGCAGATTGGTTTTGTTTGTTCTCTCCCTGGTCAGACCAACACTTACGTCATCAGGTTTACTATTGACCTAACAAATTGGCTATACACCTAGGGTCCCTATTGGTCTTTTAGGCCTTAAGACCACAAGGGCCCCTCATCCATAAGTAGGTTTCTAGTCTATTCTCTAGCTTGATGGTGACTGTCTGAGATCTTCCTTTGTTTTGCAGTCATTGTTTTGCTCACAGCGGCCATCTTGAAAGTTGCTTACGAGAGCCAGACAGCTTCTGGCTATGCTGACTCTCAGGAGACAGCCAATTTAGATTACTGGAACTTCAACTGAGAATGGCAAAATCTGATATTTGGAACCAGTGTATTACTGTTTTATTTAGCATTTGAATTTCTAGCTTTCTTGTCTTATCCTCACAGTTTCTTGTTCTTCTTTAAAGTATTCTTGCACCTTGATAAAAATATATTTTAATTACTTTTGTGGTTATTTGCTTTCAACCAACCTCAGTCTAAATCCAGAGCCTAGACTGGCTGATCACCTACCACAATAATTGTTTTTCTGAGAAATGCATTCTGCAAGCCCGCCTTGCAGGGTAGACTTTCTTGTTTAATCCCGGGAAGGTTAGAGGCTTGCCCTTTTGCTTCTAATTGTTGGGATAGTCAAAACAGCTAGTGGCAGACTGGTGTGTGAAGAGTCACACTCCAGAGTTTTGTAATTTTGTGTTTTGCAGCCCTTAAACAAAGTGTTCTGGCCTGCCCAGCACACTTTGACACAGGCACTCTTGGAGGATACATCTTTTCTTGAGATCTGTATCAATTTAGCTTTGTGTCTAGATTCTGGCCAGGATTTATGTATGTATTTGCCACTGCGGTGGCGGATCTTCATCAGAAGAAATATAGGGAAAACAGTACCCTGGACTGCTTAAAAGTGGATATGGGATTCTGTGAAGTTCCACCGGTCATTTCTACTGGGGCATTATTCAAGAGATGCATGGATCCTTGACAGTGATTTCCCTCAAATTTCATTCTATCCTCTCACTGATTTTGCTTAATGTGTACATGATGCTTCTGAGGAAGATCATCCAGGGGCTGGACTAAGGTTTTATCAACATACACCATCCTCTGTTTATTTCCCCCCTCCAACACAGGAGCAGTGGTCCTTGTCCTAAATCAATGTCTGAAAGCTTTGGTTCATTAGATGGTATAAAGATGAAGGAGACTAAATTCCCCTGCCTCTTAAGGAGATGATGCATATATACCTCAGCACACAGGCAGAGGGAAGATATGTTCTCATTAAAGGGCAATCTAGAATATTATTGACAGCCATAAATGTAAAACTTGAAATCTTGTTTACTTTCTAGTAGCCCTTAACCCAGAGTCTTCTCCTTACCTGCACTCGGGCCTCTGTCAGGTCCGTCCTCATAGCTAACTGTTCTCTGGCGTAGACATCTGGGTAGTGGGTTTTCTGAAAGACCTTTTCTAGTTCTTCCAGCTGGTAGCTGGTGAAGGTGGTGCGATTACGTCTCTTCTTGCCTTTGTTGCTCTCTGAATCAGTCTTGTCCATTGGGCTGGGAAGATCGCTGCTTGCCCTTTCTTGGGATACCTTCACACCACTCTCTTTCACGCTGAGGTAGTTACCATCCATTCCGGAAGGATCTGAGCCTGGCTGCAGCTCAGCCTCTCCCAGGGAACTCTCTTTAGCTGTGGGGGGGGGGAGTGGGCAAGGAGAGAGAGAAAACATAAAGCTGTGGATAAATGAATTAGTTTGAGCTGGATTGATACCAGCAGGGACAGAAAGAAGACATCTGGGAAAGGCTGGAATGGGCACAGAAGGAGTTAAGGAGATGGAAGTGAACTGGGAGGAGGAAGAGGGGCTTTAAGAAAAGAGAAAGATTGAGCCATTTGGCTTAGGAAGCAGCCAGAGACCAATAAAATAAATAAAGGGATTCTGTTTTAATGACTTAAGGAAGATTAGCTCTAGATTCCATGCTGGTTAAAATTTGAAATTGTCTTGTTAGTTCTGCTGTGATTTCCTGTGCTGGAGCAGATTGCTTAGAGGGAGCATAGCAGACGATAAGGGAATATTGTGTACATCTTAGTAGTTTCCACAGAGTGGTCTGTTGATTTCAAACAGCGCATTCTACATTTGATTTTATAATGCAGTCTCACTCCAGAGTGCAGCTTTGGCCTAAGGATGATGGAATAAGACCTCCATCCAAAACATTCACATTTGTCACCCACAACTTGCAGTCCATCAAGTTGCCCTGTCTTCCTTAGAGGAAAAGTGAGATAAAAATTGGATGAACAGAAAGCTGTGAGATGAATCCATACACCAGTCAAAAATACCAGCACCTTGACAACAGTAACAGTTAAAACCAATCTGTTGCCAGTACTGGGGTTCTTGCAGCGCCATCCTTCCTCCTTTCAGCATGCCAGTTTAGCACTGCCCCTGCCCATAATAATTTACGACCCTGTGTTAAGGCCACATACAATTTACCACTCGTGGTGGTGGAAAGAGCCATCAAGTCTCAGCCTATTTATGGTGACCCCACAAGAGATTTCACAGCAAGAGATGTTCAGATGTGGTTTACCATTGTCTGCCTCTGCATGGTGACCCTGCGTTCCTCCGTAGTCTCCTATCCAACTAACTAACTAACTACCTTGCTTAGTTTCTGAGATCTGAAGAGCGTGGACTAGCCTGGGCTATCCAGGTTAAGGACAATTTACCATTATGTATCTTACATCTTTGAGCTTCCAGTCCACAGAGAAAATGGTGTCCCGCCCTGGGCTTATTTTGTGCCAGGACCAGTACTTGTGTGCGGGAGGGAGCTCTAATATTAGAACTGATCCCTGGAAAACGCACTGCAATGAAAATTGCTCTGAGCATGCACACGTCACCTTTACCTCATCACTGAATAATTGCAGCCTGCCCTTAAACACATTGCTCGAAGGAGCAGGGCTGCTTTTCCAGGCCAGAGGCCAGAGCTTTTGTGCCCTGGTATCCCACGAGGCACTTCCCATCACCATCCTTGCATAGCAGTAGTTACAAGAGGAACACAGTGCACTCCCCACCGCCACCCCAGAAGTCATTCCCTAATTTTCTTGGCAATACTTATAACAGTACTATGTACTTAGCTCTACTTGTCCATTTTCAGTTCTGCATTGGACTGCTTAATGTCCTTGCTATACGCTGTTCAGTGCGAACCACCGAGACCCTGATGACATGAGTCCGTAATGCATCACTGACATGCCATGATATAAATGCAGAAAGGACCCATACAAATAAGTGATAGTTTTCTATGTATTTTCTATATATTAAGTGAATGCATCAATTACAACACCCTTGTGTTCGACAGGATTCCATAAATATTGTACTAATGATTTTTAGACCACACTTACAGTTTTCAAAAACAAGCTAAGCTAATGATGCCTCCAAATATTGTAACCGAAACTGCAGTTGTGTAGAAGGTTGGACACATCCCCCAAATGTATCACTTCTACTACATGTTGAATATCTGGACCTTATCTATACTGCATACGTGTCCATTTTCCCCCCATTTTAACAATCATGGTGTCCCTTTTAAAAAGCTGTGAATATGGTAGTTTGCTGAGCTGCTTTAAACTTCACTATCTCTACCAGCCCACCCTCCAAAATAATACCTCCCAGGATTCCCTGTGAAGAAGGAATGGCTGTTAAACTAGGTCAGGTCTTGTTCCAATGAAGATGTAAAAGTCCAGCACTGAATGTGAGCAGACAGGAGTAAAGCACATGGCAGAGGCTTTTCCTTCCAGAAGTAAATGGCCAGGGGTGAATTCATCTGAACATTTTTATATGAGTTTGGTTGGGGGGGGGGGGAGGGAAGGGGAGTGAATGGTGTTGGATGTAGCTGTGTCTTTCTCAGTCCATTTAGAAATACACCACATAGCAATATTCACAAGATCCTAAATTGCCAGGAAGGCAATCTTACACATTTTTACTCAGAAAATGACATTTTATTCAATGGGCGTACAACAAGGATTGCAGCCTAAAAGTCAGCTTGCTTTTACTGCATTGTCTTCTACCTTTGTAACCTGCTTCCAGCATTATATAATCTCATGCCTTAGACTCTTCTTAGATTTCTTTCTGTTTGTTTTATTGCTTTCCAGTTCTGTAATCCTACCCTTAGTGCACTGTTTATTGTCGTCTTATGCTGTCTGATCATTTTTTTAAAAAATTGTAATTTGCCTTGAATCTCAGTGCAAAATACAGGCTATAAATGAAATAAACAGTGTTACGTGATGTAAAATGCACATTTTTAAAAAACCCTGTGGTTCATTTGCATTTCAAAACAGTGATTTGGTTTCTTTAAGTTAATGACAGCTTTTTTGCTTCAGTTGCTGAATTTCTCTTGGTTTCAGTGAGCAACTTTGTGCATGCAAAGCAGATACTCTTGCACTGAGCCCCTCCCTATCCCAACACCAGTCCCTTTTTATGTGAAAGGGCAGAGTCCTGTAAATACATGAGGGTATGCCTGTCATGCCTAGGCTGGCCCTTAGTTTAACTGACTAAAACAAGATCCCCTGTCTTACCCCCTTCTGGAAATAACAGGAGCTGGGAGAAGGGGTGTTTTTATCAGGAAATTGACAGGAGAAAGGGTTAAACTACCATAAACTAGGCTTACTCATGCCTGCTTTTAATGAAAATTGGAAAGGTCTTGAATCCTCGACCTAGATCTCTTGCTTTTATCTGCTTTGAGGAAAGCAATGTGAGCCACTTTGGGTCCCTGTTGGGGAAGTAACAAGATAAATCAAATAAATAAATCTGATAGGCTGACTGTGATTCTCTCGTCACTGATTGCAGTGCACACATATTACTGAATGAAGACGGCATGCTAGATGCTGCTTGGTACCCATGGATAAGACACCTGTAGCATTTGGTCTCCTCACTCCAAGGCTGTGGCACAGCCTGTCTGTATGTCAGCATGTAGAAGCAAAACACTATCTCCTACGCCTAGCAGAGAACAGAATGGCAAGCTAACTGCTTATATAGATAGAACCAAGTCAAATCCCTCCCCAAGACAATGTGCCAGCAACACCATTTATATAAAACTGGAAAGACAGATCTAGTAATATTTATCACTTTTTTGGCAACAGTTTTGTGCAATTCCACTAACTGGAAAATGTCACTATCTAACAAAGTTGGGTTTGGGAGGCACACTGTTTTGCTGGTTCAAATTTATTCTTGGAGACACTGGGGGACTTCTGTTCTACCCTATGACCAGTGGCTTATGGAGTACCACAACATCCCTTCTTGTCCCCTAAGCTACTGAACATAGACATGAAACCACAAGGAGAGATCATCCAAGGATCTGGGACTCAGCATCCTTTAGATGCTGACCAAACACAGCTCTGTCTCTCTTCTTCACTGTTTTCTAGGGAGATAGTGGGAATTCAAAACCAAGGTCTGAGATCTTTGAAAGACTAGATGAGGGGGCACAAACTGAGATATCGCTTGTGGCAATCAACCCTACCTGAAGTGAGGGTGTTTGAGGCCCATGGGAGGAGTTGCCCTCAAACATTGGAACTCTTTGACCTTGGAGGTGAGAGTGGAATCATCCCTACCACCTTCCAGACAGAAGCACTGTTCACAAGTTACAGCGGACACACACAGAATCCATTTACAGTGTGCACTTGTATTTTCTTTATAAATGCAATGAGTAATTCACATGTTACATTCAGTGCATGTATAGCCGAACATATGATTTAAACCCCACATTCATGCAGGTACTGGTCCCTGCTTTCGTTTGTAAAGTTAACATGCATTGGCTCTTTCTTACAAATAGGTGTATCCAGGTACATGAAGGCTGTACGTACATTCAATGTAACCTGTGAACAGGGCTTAAGTTAAAGTCATTTCCATTCCAGAAGGCCTTTGACTTAAATTGACTGATTATGGGGCAGTATCTGTTGTTTTAGTGTACTTGACTTTTATGTTACATATTCTAAATGAATGTTGTTTTAATTGAAATTTATTATTGTAGACCTTTGGTTTTATTGCTAGCTGCCTTGTGGATTTTTGTGGCTGAAGAGTAGCATATAAAATACTTAAATAAATACCTTCTCAGTTAGAATCATAGAGTTGGAAGGGGCCATGCAAACCATCTAGTCCAATCCCCTGCTCAGTGCAGGATCAGCCCAAAGCTCCCCTGAGCAGTGTTTGTCCAGCTGCTGCTTAAAGACTGCCAGTGAGGGGGAGCTCACCACCTCCCTAGGCAGCTGATTCCACTGTTGAACAACTCTCACTGTAAAAAAAAAAATCTTCCTAATATCCAGCCAGTATCTTTCTGCCCATAATTTAAACCCATTATTTTGAGTCCTATCCTCTGCTGCCAACAGGAACAGCTCCCCACCCTCCTCTAAGTGACAGCCCTTCAGATACTTAAAGAGAGCAATCATGTCCCCCCTCACCCCGCTCTTCTCCAGACTGAATGTTCCCAAGTCCCTCAGCCCTTCCTCACAGGGCTTAGTCTCCAGGCCCGTGATCATCTTCATTGCTCTCTTCTGCAGCTAGGATTCCCAGACCCCTGGTCCGGATGGGGTTTTCCTCGATTTTCAGGCCAGCAGGGGAAGCCCCACTCCCAAGGCCCGCCCCCAAGCCCAACCACCCGCAGCTACCCCTCTCCTTTCTCTCCAGAGATTTAAAGGGCCCTCCAGCTGATCCA